ATAAAAATAAATGATACTAGTCAAACCTCTGTGAGCCCCATCCAAAGTCAGGTAATAATTTGAGGAAAATTCTTTCAGATTTTATTCTACACCACATCTGTGTTCTAATGGGAAATGGCTTCAGAGAATCAGCAAAAATGACACAGCGAAAGCAAGTATACACAAGAATGCAGCACACACATGCACACACACACACACACACACATGCATGCACACACACAGCTACCTCTTAAACATATGAAAGAAATGCTCAAACTTCTGCAGAAATGCAAGAACCCAGTGAGATACTGTTAAACCTAGCACAGAACACACAACTGAAGCTTGGTAGCACAGCACGTTGGTGAGAATGTAAAGAGTCCAGGCAGTGGTGGCGCACGCCTTTAATCCCAGCACTCGGGAGGCAGAGGCAGGCGGATCTCTGTGAGTTAGAGACCAGCCTGGTCTACAGAGCGAGTTCCAGGACAGCCTCCAAAGCTACAGAGAAACCCTGTCTCAAAAACCAAAAAGAATATAGAGAAGTAGGCACTGCCGTCTATTGCCAATGGAAGGTCAGATGTTTTAGCCTCTAATGAGGCAGCTTGGTGATACCAACCAAAACCCACATTCCTGCTTCACATTCAGAAACGTATAGGAAGTGCACACAGTTCCTTGACATACGTGTAAAATGTCACATGCATGAGATTATTCACAGCAGCAGCGTGGGAAATAGTGTAATGTTAGAAGCATCTTAAATATCCCCTGATTAAAAATGATAGAGCACTATGCTGCCATAAACAAAGATCGAAGGAGCTTTCTAATGAGTCCAGTGGACAGATCTCTAGTACATGCCAAGTAAAAAATGGCATTCTTTGGGAAGTACCCCTTTTGTTACAGGTAGGAAAACAAGTGTGTATTCACATTTTCTCATTTCTTTATAAAGTGTGACCAACAGGGTACACAGGAAATGAACACAAAATGTCAGGAGAATCTGTACCCACAGGGGAGATTACTTCTGTCTGCCCTAGCATTCTTCAGATTTCTGTTTTTGGGACACGTGGATATATATGATCAACTAAAAAGGAAAACATGAATGAAATTAGCAATAAAGTGAGTAACTAAAGGTTATCACATTGCTTCATCTATAGGGAAAGGGGTGGTACTAAATATTCTAGTCTAAAACAATGACCTTAGTCCTCTAAAAATAAAAAAATAACAATAAAAAGGTCCCAGCATATAGATGTGCTCTTGTGTTTGAGGACTGAGAAGATGGGGTGGGCAACTGGGCAGTTGTCTTTCTGCAACGCTATCGGTCATGTTTGCTAAGAACTTGCTCCGTGTTAGTCTGGTACCTGAGGCAGCCATTGCTGGAGAGGAGAAGGGAAGAAAACAGGGATCACGCTGTCCTCCATTGCTTCCTTCCAGCATCTCTCCCCTCCTCCGCATGGGGAAGGACATCCTGGCTTTCCTCTTCCCTTCACTGGCATGGACAAGCTTCCCTGGTGATCACATCTGCTGCTAAAGCCCCACCCCACACACACACACACACACACACACACACACACACACACACACACACACACACACACACACACACGTGCTTCCCCTGGCAAGGGGGGAGCCAGAAAAGCTTTCCCCAGAGGGATGAACACTTTGTAACGAAACTGAAGATCTCCAGAGGAATAGTGTTCTCATAGCAGCCAGGCTGGTTCCCTGGGAGGTCTTCTAAACCTTCTGTCCCAAGAGAAAAGGACTAGAAGTCACTCTTTCTGTGTTTGGTTTTGTGTGCAAAGTTAAGATATCTGAGTGGGACTAGGAGGAAGTGGCCAGAGTTAGGATTGCATACATCAGTGGCTACAGGGTAGGAAGGAGTGTTTTGACTAGGGCCAATCCAGGTCATAGCCAAGGGCGCCCATAGGACTTGCTCATATCCGACAGCAGCTGGGCCAGCTTCTTCCCCAGGGAGAAGAGGGGGCAGGAAGCAGAGGCCAGGGAGGAGTGGACCAGAGAAAGAAAAGGGAGAACAGGGCCTGGTGGGTATCTAGACTGTTCCACATGGCAACCTGAGGCACATCAGGGCAGACTCAGGCTGGCTTGGAGTCTTTGGACGCTCCTCCACTAGACTCTCCTCCACTCGTGACACACTGATGTGGCCGTAGACCAGCACCTTGCTCAACCCACATCAGAGGAGCTGTTTCTTGGCTGGTAATTAACACAAAGGCCAGGCAGTGATTGTGCACGCCTTCAATCCCAGCACTCGGGAGGCAGAGGCAGGAGGATCTCTGAGTTCCAGGGCAGCCTGGTCTACAGAGTGAGTTCCAGGTCAGCCAGGGCTACCAGGGGTTAACACAAAGGGCCAGTCCTGGACAATGTTCAGAGAGGTTGATGTTAGAGCACTTAGTCCTCAATGAGAAGTCATCATCAGCCCCCTCCCCTCGGGGATCCACGAGGGTAAGGAGGTAGAAAGACGGTCAGAGACAGAAGCGATGGGCTATTTCAAGACAACAGTGTCTTCCGGACTGGGGCACACGTGCAGTCAGAGGCTGTGGCAGCTTGCACAAGGCCTGCCCAGGTCCCAGCACAGAGAGGAGGGCGTGGACACAAGGCCCCACCCCTTAGCCAAGAAGCTATCTGCAATTGGTACCCACTGGCAAAGGGAAAATCAGTTTTCTCAGAAGTGTCGCTGGGTATATCAATCATACCCCAGGGAAGGCCCTATGCCCAGAAGTCATTGGTCAACATAAAAGGAATTTAAGGGTATTTCTGTTTCATTTTGCTTTGTTTCGGCATTTGCTGTTTTGTCTTATTGTACTTCTGCTTGTTTGTTTTGATTTTCATGTTTTCTTTAAGAGAGCAAGATGGTAAAGTTGGGTGGGTAGGTTGAAGTGGTTGAGGGAGGGGAAAAAGCATGATCACAATATATTGTATGAAGAACTTTATTAACAGAATTGTAAGTCCCTACAACAAAGGCTTTGATGGGTGCTTTGAGAGCAGGGACTGGGGTGTTAGGAGGAACTCTAGCTAAGGTATGAGAGTAGCATGGGGCCAGGAGAGACCCTGATCACCTGAAATGAATCACTTACCTCCCTGCTGATTTGGTAGAATGCTTAGTCATATAGCAGCCATTGAGAACTCAGGTTCCAAGCAAGAATGCTGGACTTGGTGATCAGAGGTGGGTGGGTAAACACGGTCTCATCCAGAATCGTTCTTTTTACTGGTTTTATAGTCCTTGCTATTGTGATCTTTGTGATGGTCACGTGGACCTTGTAGAGGCAACTCTGGGCATGACAGCATGGAGGAATATTTGCCTTAGCCGGTCCCGAGTTCCCTGTAATAAAATTTCTGTAAGGCCTTCCAGGTCTCTCCAACTCAAATGTTCCATGAAGGAAGTGAGTCGAATAAAGACTTTCACCATTCACACACTTCATCCTCTTAGTCTTTCAAACAATCATACAAAGAGTGGGTGACCCCAACGTAATGGATAGGAGACCAGCCTAGCAAGGTGACTTTAGCAGCCTGGACCCCAGCCTGACATTCCTCCCTGTTTTCCCACCCCAGTCAGAGCTAAGCCCTGCACTCCCTCAGTGCCAGTGTTAGGGTCAGGACATAGCCCCAGGGGCCTAGCTGGATGGCTGGACTCTCTGTTCTGTATTTGGGGACCATTTGCTTAGAGTAGCATCTTTCTATGCTCTTTCTTCCTTCTCAAGGAATCACAGCTGTAAGCAGAAATAGGGTCACAGACACAGCATGGGCAGGGCCAGAAGCACTTCCTGCCCCATCTCCCCCCCAACATGGGTCCCGTGGGATGCCTGGAGCTCAAGTTCAGATGCCAACAGGCGCAAGAACGCCACCCTTCCTGGCCTTTGCTTGTAGGGGAAGAGACTTTCTTTGCGAGGCCCACCTCAACAGCCCAGTAGAGCTGCTGTGAGGGGCCCAGAGTAGGAACCTCCAACCACATAATCTAGATGTTTCTATGGGGCCAGAGCTGGGCTTTCCAGGGGTGGTGGGAAAATCCTTATCTAGGACTCTCGGTTTTAGATAAGAAATCTCAGAACCCTGGAGTGTTAAAACAGGCCACAGGGGAGTCATTATGACTGAGATCAGCCTGCTCCTATGACTCTCACCTCTCCTACACAGAAACATCTGAATCCAGGTTATTCCCCTCACCTGCTACCCACAGAAGATGGGTCTTGCACAGGCACCATGCCCCTGCAGCAGGACTCAGTCTCCCTCAGCATGGAATTTTAAATCCCTCCTGCTGATACCCCAGGCTCTGTAGGGTTGGCTCTAATATTATCTAACACTTCTCAGGATCCCTGATCTCTGGTATCCCCACCTTTGCCTCTGCCTCCCTTCTCCTTTGGTCCCTCTCTTTGTGGTCTGTCCAAAGCTAACTTCCGTCTACCCCTGGGGACCACTGTCCCATGGTTATTCTGACTGAACACTCTGGTCTCCATCATTTCACCCTTGGAAATGAAGCTACTCAGACCCCTGTGGTTTACTCTGATTTGGTGATTTAGGATTTTTTTTGTTGTTGTTTCTTTGTTTGATCTGAGACAGTGTTTCTCTGTGGCTTTGGAGGCTGTCCTGGAACTAGCTCTTGTAGACTAGGGTGGTCTCGAACTCACAGAGGTCTGCCTGCCTCTCCTGGGATGAAAGGTGTGCCACCACTGCCCAGCTGATTTAGTGCTTTGTGTATGTCACCCTGTATCCCAAGTTAACTAACTTGTTAAGAATGTGGGAAGGGGACCCATGCATTTCTTACAGCAGGGTCTAAATGGCATGAGTCCTAACCTTAATGCAGCCAGGAGGCTGTGAAGGATCCTATCTTTTGCTAAGGAGTTGTAAGTACTGCTGAAGATTGACTAGCTGGGAGATACTAAGGTTAGTCTGTGGCAGGTCAGAACTTCTCCCTAGACTCCCTTTACTGGAGAAGGTCCCTAGGGTGTGTGTGCATCTCTCCAACTCGAAAAGACCCCATTGTATGTGTGAGGCTAACCGTGTGGCCTTGACCTGTCTTACAGGGATTTGAAACTGGACAACATCCTTCTAGATGCAGAAGGTCACTGCAAGCTGGCTGACTTCGGGATGTGCAAAGAAGGAATTCTGAACGGTGTGACAACTACCACCTTCTGTGGGACCCCTGACTACATAGCCCCTGAGGTAAGCCCCAGGGCAAAGAGTTAGCTTCTCTCTCTTGGTGTCATGGTTGAAGCAACAATCCAGTGCCATGCATCTGGGGATCACCCAGGGGTGTGAAGAGAAGGCTCTAAAGAAGCAGGGTGGATTCTGGGAGTAAGAAACAGGAAGGGAAATGGTTGAGTGATTTCTATGGAAGAATGAGTTGGTAGGTACCGAGAATGGTATAGGTGAATTGAGAGTGACAGGCTAGTCCCCATGTGTTGATGAAAGTTTTCTGTCTCGCCAGGGTCCCGCCACCCTTGAGCCCCAAAGAAACACACAGACACTATATTAATTATAAAGCTGTTGGCCAATAGTTAGGGCTTCTTATTGGCTAGCTCTGTCTTAATTATTAACCCATTTCTATTAATATATGTATTTCCACCTGATCTTGGCTTACTGGAGAATGCCTGGTGTGTCCTCTCTTCCCGGGCTCTACTTGGTGACTCCATCTGCCTATGTTTCCCAGAATCCATCTCCTAGCCCTGCCTATACTTCCTGCCTGGCCAATCAGTGTTTTATTCATCAACCAATAAGAGAAACATATATACAGAAGGCCATTTCCCATTACCCATGCTTGAGTGAGTCCTTGCTAAGGTATCATGCCTCCATCCTAGTCCATAACTAGCACCAGAGCTAGACATAAGAGAAACTGGTTGGCTTGTAGGTGAGTTTTCACTTCTTCCTAATGAGAACAGTGAAATTCCACTGAAAAGACAGCGAGTGGCTTCACTGGACATATTCCTCACAGTAAAACCAGGAGTGCTTTGCCATTTTCACTGAGGTAGCAAATCTACAGGGTAGGCACATGTGAGGAGCAAGAAGACAGTGGAAGCAAAGGTCAGAGATGTCCACTGTGAACCTCACCAGGGGGTTGCCTTGTGTTCATTTCATGCGAAAGTTGAGGGAATAGTGTGCTCACCAGGAGGTGGCTATTTGACTTGTGTCCTTCCAGAGCAATCTGACCTAAACCGAGAGATACTTAGCAGGGGTGATTCATACTTAGCCATTTAGCCATATATCCCCATAGACAATTAAATTTGTTTGATGGTTTTGAGACACATACAATGGGAGAGAGGTGCCGGTCCTGTTAAGCATCCCCTGTGTGGAGAGGTTTCCTTCCAGTGGGCATTGTTTGAGCACCTGCCAGGCAGAGCTATGTGAGTTTGGGAATTGAATGAGACTCTGGTTGCTCTTCTAAGGGAGGTTTTGGTCTAGACAGAGTGACACATATGTAATCAAAACAATGGCACCCAAAAGAGGAGAATGCCTCAGGGATCCAGAAGGCTTCGTGGAACATCTGGAATTGAGAGATTGGCTGGAAGAGAATACATTTTCAGTTTCCTTTAACCACCATAGTGATGAGGAGAGCATTGTTGGAAACAGCAGGAAGGATCAGGGCGGGAACCATGCAGAGAAGGAAGGGCCACATCTCCGGGTTGTGCTTCCCCTCAAAGCGGCCTTGATGCTTTCACTCTGGGTACTCTCAGTATCCAGCACACAGGTTCTAAATACTGGTCTTTAGAATGCATGGATGAATGAATGTGACATTTCAACATAAGCAAAAGCCAAGGGATGACAACATCTTGGCCATTCCCAGGAGACTTAACATAACTAGAGGGCTGGTGAGACGGCTCAGCAAGTAAAATCGCTTGTGATTGGCAGCCTGAGTTTGAACCCTAGAACACCACTTAAAGGTAGAATGGGAGAACCAACTACTTAAAGCTGACCTCCACCATGATGTGTGATCTCTACACACACACACACCACTCTAACCAATAAAACAAAATTTTAAAACAGTAGAGATAGAGCAAATGCTTGCAGAGATGAACAAAATTGGGATAAAAGGAGCCAGAAATATAATCTCAATCCCATAGGATCTATGAACCTACTATGGGTGTCCTTGGAGGAGAGTCTTCACCATGTCCATCCCAAGAAGAAGGCGGGTCACAACAGCCCATATCAACAGGCTAAGCAGGGCCTTCACAGTGCACACCCAGCAACCACATAAACCAAACCCGATTGTGCGAGACTGTAATCCCTGCACACAGGAGGGGAGAAGCACGAGACTCAGGAGTTCAAAGTCATCCTCAGCTGCATGGGAAGCCTGAGGCTACCCTGAGCTTCCTGAGACCCTGTGTCACAAAGCATTTAAAACATTCCAGTCTTAGTGAACTTGAACTGGACAGCTGGAGAATGTTTATGTTGCATCTTTCTTTCTTGGTCCTAGGGGTGATATTGTTAGATACCGTTTCCCTGTATGTCTCCTAGAATTAGTGTTGATTTTCCAGAACATTTCATAGTCTCCCATTCACTTGAGCTAACTGTAGATATGGAACACCTGTTGGGTTCACTCACACACATGGGTTTGTAGCAGCCTTAATGGCCTCTCACTTGGAATTTGAGCCTATGTGTCTTTGATCTGAAGGTCTTGTACTTCCTCTTTTAGAATACTCAAATAAGAAAATGTTCTAAGTGCACAGAGAAAGATTCACTTGGTGGATTTTTATATAGTCACTTATACCTTTGCTTATATTGCTATACCTCCAGTGAATGTCTGGTGATGTTTTTCTTTAAGAAAAATGAACATTGCCTTTGATTTGTTGTGCCAATATTCAACCTCCAGTTTTAGAATTTATTCTCAATGCCATATGAATTGATAAAGTCTTACAAACAACAAGGAAAAACCAGCAAACAGGGAGAGTAAAGGGATGGAGTTTCAACAATCTGTCCACAGCTCAGACAACACGAGTGGGTCCGGGGAGAGCTTGGGAGTGAAGCTTGTGGGATCAGAATCTCAGGGCTCCTTGGAGCTTTGATCTTCTACAAGCAGCAATTTCAGCCTCTCTGTTAATAAGTTTCCTTAGCGAGAACAGGAGCAAGGCAGCCTGCAAGGAGAAATAAAGAGTCTCCCCTGGGAACTCATTCATCTTCTTCACTCAGTCTTTTTACCATGAGAAGCTTCCATTCATATCCCTCTGTAAGCCGATGCCACAAGGGTCAGAGGGTTGACAATAGTTAAGGATCCTGCCCAAGAAAGACACGCACTTCACAGTGAAGGAGGAACCCAGACAGCCTCCATGTGAAGTGTCCCACTAGCAGGACTCTCGGGTGAGCTTAGCACAGGTCCCATGACTCTTCCTGCCCACTCTGTTCTTTGTGTCCATTGCAAAGAGTTGCTAGAGCACTGGAAATGGCAAGCAAATGCTGGTCTTTCAGTAGGCAAGTGACATCTGGCCAAGAGAGATGCCTCCCTCAACAAGGGCTAGCAGGACGGTGAGATGAAATTATGTCCCCTGAACACTTACCACAGTACCCAGCTCACGACAAGGACCAGCTAAGTGCAGTTCCCTCCCTTGGTCTCTTCACCGTTGGGTTATACCGTGGGTTGTGAGAAACAGTCCAGAGAGCTGAGTCCAGACCTGCCCAGAATGTCCCCGTGTCCCCTTGATGAAGTCAAGGAGCCTTTTGAACCTTGGGATCCTGCCTTTCCCATGGGAATCCTAATGCCTGCCCTGCCCATCTATCTCAACAGGCTGCCTTAAGACTCTAATGGGATTAAAGGTGGGAGTGCTTCGGAAGGCAAACGCCTTAGTCGAGTAGGAGAGGCTAGCCCTGAAACCGGAGCCACCTTCTGAGGGATCAGCTCTGCCAAGCCCTCCTCTCCCGACTCCTGCCTCCCTCTCCCTCTCCCCTCTGGCATCTTTCAGTCCCTCTTCTTTCTCCACACCTGGTCCCTCCCAGCTCTCGGTCACACCTGGTTCCATCAGGCCTTGTACCTGCGAGCTCTCTCTCTCTCTCAACCCTTGACCCTGCCGAAGGGCCAGCTTCCAGACCAGGTACCATCCCATGGTATGCAAAGCTTTACCTTCCCCCCAGCTCCATTGCTGGGAAGGCGATCAATGGAGCCAAGGATAACCGGGGCTGAGCCTAAGAGGAATTCTACAAACCATTCCAACAAAAGCAAGGCTCAAGAGGAACCTGGGACGGCTGAATAAGGCTGCCCTGTCATCCCCACGTCCCCACCTAGTCTGCGCGTAGACAAACCACCAAGTCCCAGAGGTGCAGACGCCAGGCGTCCACCCAGAAGTGACTAACGCGGTTCACCTTGTCTGCTAGAGCCCGTGAGCTGCAGGGGTAATGGCGCACTGGGTAGGATGTACCCATTGGTAGGTGTGAAACAGTGGCTGTGTCTTGAGTGTGTGAATGGGATGGCCACAGCCGAAGGCTCGGAGAAATGATGGGGAATAACTTCCTGGTACTTCCCGGATGTTCCAAGGAGCAAGCTGGCTGTGTAAAAGTGACCAAAACTTCAGTATTATAAGGGACGTGCCTACAAACCTTAGGAACAGGCAAGGGTTAGGATGTGGGAAGGCAGGAGAATACCTAGGAAGTCGAGAAGTATTTCTGGAGGAAACAAGGCACGGGCATGACCTTGAAGGACAATAAACCAGTGGTGAGCCAGGCTAACAGCTAGATCTCAGGAGGTTGAGGACAGCCCAGCTTTGGCTGGGGCCCCAGTCCAGTGCAGCCTATAGTTTACAGAGAGCCTGCACTGGGCACTGGAACGAGAAAGCCCACAAACTAAGGAAACAGATAAAATACTCTAGAGGTACCTGCAGCCTCCCACAGTCTTCTTCATCCCAATGTGACATGCTTCTTAGACTGTGTGTGTTCTCAGGGGCCTTAGATTCTTCTACCGAATTCTTTCTGTTTAGCCCCAAGTAATCTGGGACTGCTCCAGAAAACGGTTTAGGATTTCCTACATGGGTTCATCCTGAGTTATTTCTCTGACTCTATCCATTTGGCCAGATAAGCAGTGGCTGGGAGGAGGGGACACTGCTGAGGCTGGGTGGCCATTGTCAAAGATAGAATTCAAAAACAGTCATAGAACTGACTGAACTTTGGCTTTGCCCATGGAGATAACGTTCATTCCCGAAGTTGGCCCAAGGAACAGGCCCTGGGATCTCTAAAGTCTGTTAAGTGAGAAGTTCATTGGTGAGACTCCGGAATCCAGGAGGAATGACAGAAATGGGTATTTTACTGTCATAGGCAAGAGCATAGTGGTCCTTCCTGGGTAGAACAGATAGGTTACAGAAGATGTCTTTTCTGTTATTTCCTTCCCTGGAGTACGGGGCCCAGGTAAACTTAGTGTTGTCACTACTTAAGGAATTACAGCTCTCTGGTTCAAGCCAAGCATGCCCTTAATCCCAGCACTCAGGAGGCAGAGGCAGGTGGATCTCTGTGAGTTGGAGGCCAGTCTGGTCTACAGAGTGAATTCCAGGCTAGCCAGGGCAACAAGGGGGAATAAAGAAAAAGAAAAAAAGATTCTGGTCTCCTTCCCACTTGGGCAGTTGGCATCTACCGCTCCTGCCCACGCTCTCCTCCGGCTCACTCTCCCCTCCGGCTGTGTGTGACAACAGGGACCTGGGCTGGCTGTGCATCCCTCTCAGCATTGCCTTTTGAAGTTGACATCCTGCTCCCCAGCCCCGGGGCTCAGTGTCAAACTGTGCTGTCTTCTTTTGAAAGTGGCCCGAAGTGCAACTCTGGAACTGGAACTTTATCTGGCATCCAAACAAAGAAAGCATCTTTTGTTTCCACCAGAGGTTAGATGGTGGATGCTGGCTGTAGGGAGAGGATTGTTAGCCTCCCACATTCCATCCCTCCTCCCACATTTAGTCCTCCCTGGAGATGCTGAGGTAGGCCTCCCTCTAAGGTAGCATAGCTCTGCTCTATGGTGGAGCAAGTTGGAAGCAAAGGTGTGAACTCAAAGGTGTAGACCTTCCCACGAGAGTTGGTGGCAGGGGTGTTGCTGGGACAGGACTCTTGAGTGACCGTGCACCATCTGTTTTCTGGACAGATCCTGCAGGAGTTGGAGTATGGCCCCTCAGTGGACTGGTGGGCACTGGGGGTGCTGATGTATGAGATGATGGCCGGGCAGCCCCCCTTTGAAGCTGACAACGAGGACGACTTGTTCGAGTCCATTCTTCACGATGACGTGTTGTACCCTGTCTGGCTCAGCAAGGAGGCTGTCAGCATCCTAAAAGCTGTGAGTCACTGTCCCTCACCTGTCGCTCTGCTCTCTGAGGGTGTTCTCTCCACCACTTACTCTCCCATCCCCTCTGGTGTGTGTGTCTGTCTGTCTTTCTGTCTGTCTGTGTATCTGTGTATCTGTGTGTGTCTGTGTGTGTCTGTGTGTGTGTATCTGTGTGTGGCTGTGTCTGTGTGTGTATCTCTGTGTGTATGTGTGTCTGTGTAGCTGTGTGTCTGTGTGTCTGCTCACCAGTTTGCCCAAGGCAGAACCACGTGACCACCCAGGAGCCTTGACTTCAGCCCTGTCTTGCATTCCCCTTCATACCACCCCAGAGTTCAGCAGTTAAACAGCCACATTCATGAAGCCAGCCCTGTTCAAGGGCCCTGGACTAACAGTCTTCATTTTATTCCATATGTTTTATGAAGAAAGTTGGCTGTCTGTATGACAGATAGGGAGTTTGCAGCACTTGTCATAACTAATAGAAGTCATGACATTCTTTTAGACTGACGAGCATTTCACAGGAGTCTGGAATCACACACGCTCCCCTGCCTCACTCCTTTATGTTCCTCCACCTTCCATGGCTCCCACGTCTCACGACTAGGGGCTTAGTTGCGCTTCTATGCTAAAACCGGTTTTGCTATTTCTTGGTGGCGTTTGCCCTGGGTAGCCTCTTCTTGGTTTCCTTTGCTGCCTCTTCTGTCTCTCGCTGGACAAGGTGCCCTGCTGTATAGGAGGCTTGCTCTATCCCCACGCTCACACCTCTAAGAAATGAAAACTCCCTGGAAATCCCTTCATTCACCCCCATAGCGTTTGCTGCCTTCCACTATAGTGTGGAGGATTGGGCATGTGGCTGTAGAGTGTAGAGCGCACGCATGAAGCCATGGGTTCAATCCCCAGCCTTGCATAAGTCCCTCAGAGTAGCACATGCTTGTCATACCTGCCCTGGGGAAGTTGAGGGAGGAGAACGAAAAAGTTCATGGCCATTCCTCAGCTACACAGTGAGTTAGAGGTTAGCCTGGGCCACACGAGACCTTGTCTCAAAAACAACAAACAGCATCAGTGAGATGGTGTAGCAGGAAAAAGCACTCGCTCTCCCAAGTAGAGCAACGAGTTCAATCCGCAGAAGCCATGTAAAAAGCCCCACGCAGTGATGCAAATCTGCAATCCAAACATTGCCACCCTGAGATGAAAGCTGCAAACAGCCAGAAGGTCCCACAGGCCACCCAGCCTGGAGCACTCACAGCCTGGCCCAAACAAGAGAGATCCTGCTTCAACACGGTGGAAGGAAAGAGCAGACTCCTTCCTGAGAGTTGTTCTCTGACCTCCTCGTGCCCGACTGCATTCACCACCCCCAGAAGTAAACTAATTGATTTAAAGGTTATATATTTGTAGTCTGTTTCCTCCCACAAGAATGGACCCCCCCCCCCGCCCCTGTGGGGCAGGGCAGGGATTTCGTCAGATTCTCCAGCAGATACACCTGGGAGCCGCAAGGCACGCCCGCACATCCTAGGCTCTGCATGCAGTGTTTGTTGCCACATGGAAGATGGCTGCCCCTCGGTCTCTGTGCTGTTGTCCTCTTTGCCCCAGTTTACAAGGCGAAATGCCTTTGGTATACGAGGTGATATGGCAGGTGACTTGGAGTTTGCTTGAGAGCCACACCTGTCTTGGGCGTGTCCACTCCCTGCCTCCAGCTGAGCCCAGGCCTGCAGCAGTGAGGACTTCCTTCATAGGAGCTGCCTTTCCAAGGGGCAGCTAGAAGCCAGCACGGTGTAGCATCGCTCTCCGTGGGAACTGATTTGAACCCCTTCCCTTAAAAAGAATGTGCAGCCGGACAGTGGTAGCACACGCCGTTAATCCCAGCACCCAGGAGGCAGAGGCAGGTGGATCTCTGTGAGTTTGAGGCCAGCCTGGTGGACACAGAGAGTTTCAGGACTGTTATATAGAGAAATCTTGTCTCAGAAAACAAAAACAAAAAGAATGTGCAGGTTGAGCCATGCCCTTGTTTCTGGCTAGGGTTTCTCACTGACCCCTGAGTTGAATGAAGCCACTGATGTAGTCCTGGGCCCTGCTCTATCTGGACCCTACCCAGCCCTGGGCTCTCGCTTACTTGAATAACGGAAACACATAGTGAGTCTTTTAAAATGCCATAAGTACAACATGGAATGCTGTCAAAGGCCTTTGTTTTGCCCCCATTCCCACCTTCCTATCCCCTCCTCTCTGTACCTCATGGATGACACAGTATGGAGTTTTGTACAACCTTCCAGAATTTCCCTAGGTGTATGCCAAGATGTAGACTCAGATTCTCACTTCTTTTACCTTTGATTGCTGGAACAGAATTCAGAAGGCCCTGCAGAAGGGGCTACTGCTTCTTCCACTAGATGCTGCGACTGCCTGTCTCCGTGCTTAGGAAAGCTCTTGGGGCAGCTGTCACATGGGGTCCCCCACCAAGGACTACTCCAGAGTGCTTAGCTAGGGTGGGGATGTGAGCCTTCTGCTCTAGCCCTTAGCTCCCCACCTGGTCCCAGGCCTCTGGTCCAGCACTGGAGAGAGCAGGCCTATGCCTGGCCGACACCAGCTCAGCCTCCTTCTGAGGGTCCTCTGCCCACACAGAGGCCAAGTGTGAGTCAAGCCTCACTCTCTCTGTCTCCCTCATTCTCTCCCCCTCCCTCCTCTGTCCCCCCTCTGCCCCTCTCCCTCCCTCCCTTCTTCCCCCCCTCTCTCCCTCTCTTTTCTCTCTCTCTCCCTCTCTCCCTCTCTCCCTCTCTCCCTCTCTCCCTCTCTCCCTCTCTCCTTGTATGCCCACATAGCACCGTGGTTTTGACACCCTCCGGACACATATCCAGCAATGTTTGAGATACTAGAGTTGACACAGTTTTGGAGAACATGGGGGGTGCTGATGTGCAAAGATACGTCGAGATGTGTCCTTGGAGGCTGCTGAACAGCCTGCAGTTCACAGGACAGCCCCCCAGCAAAGAGTGTCAGTAGCATTGAGCCGGAAAACTGCTGACACCTGGGGCAGGAGAGGTGGCTCCGTGGTTAGGAGCACGTGCTGCTGTTACAGAGGCCCCAGGTTTGAATCCTGGCACCTGAGTTGAGCAGCTGACACCCCGTGTAATCCCAGCTTCAGGAGAAGGATGCTTTCTTCTGAGCTCATCAGGCGCCGTGCTCACAGCTGCACATCCCCACACATAGGTACCTACACGTAATTTAAGTTAAAAAATATACTATAGAGAAGAAAACTGTTTACCTGCAGAGACTCAGGGGTTACAGGTCATGCCGTGTTGACTGCTTAATGTCTGAGTGAAGAGCTCTGGCCCAGGAGGTTACCCCAGAGCCTCATCCCGAGTCTTCTGCCTCCTCTGCTAGAAGAGGGAGGTGGGACAGGCTACAAAAGGGAGGAGTCCTCTGCTTTTCTCTGGAACCCCTCCCCCTCTCCCCTTAGGTTGTCACTCAGTGTTTCTAGCCCATATTTTCTAAAACTCTGTCCTCGGAGCTATGTCCCTGGAGGGTGTTAACCCATGGGGAGGTGGTTCAGGATCTAGAGAGGTCATTTGAATCATTAAACAGAGAGCAGCCCATTCAACAGTAAGCAGCCATGTCACTGCTCAGCACCTCCTCCTAAGCCTCTGCCCTCAGCCTTCTGGTCAACCTTCACAGCTCACTGGACACCCTGTAGGAGGCAGGGATGGAGCCTGTACTAGGTGAGCATGTCACAGGCTCATCAAGGGGTAGTGACCTTTAGGCAGCTCATAATCTAGATTGACAAGAAATGGGGTGCTCAAGCTAGCTGCCTAGGAATCAGCATTATTTTGATTGTGTCTTGGAGAATGAAATGCTAAGGCGCTGCAGGGGAATGCTGAAAAGTAGGCAGGATGCAAATTGAGATGTCACCATGTGCTGAACAAGAGTATAGGCCAGTGTGGGACATCTGAAGTCATCAGGCAGGAGTGACTTCTTAGACATGTGATGAAGGAGATGAAGGTCACACGTCTCCCACAAATTTGAGGCTTCTCAGCACCGCTCCCCATCTTCTCTGTGGTCTCGTGACAGAGAAAGTTCAGGTCATGACCATGTAGTTTGGGTTCAAGGACACCAGGGGGACATGGTAGGACCCTAACCCCGAAGCCTAACCCTTTCCCCATTAAGAAGCTCTCACTTGCTGGTGAATCTTGCAAGCCCACCTTAGTCTGTCCTCTCAGGTCCCTTTGTAACTGAACTTTGCCCTATAAAGCATTGTACTTGATCTCTAACACACACAGGCACAACACAACACAACACACACACACACACACACACACACACACACATACACCTTTATTTTTGGTGCTTATCAAAAAAATGTTTAGGTTTCTATTGGTATTCAGCTTTTGATTGATGTTATGTTTATTCCTATGACTGACTGGTTTAGTCGAAATGAGCTTGTCATGTAGCTAGACCATGGAAGCCTGCAATTGTGAACTTACTTATCAGCAACCAAAAAGGAATGGATTTTATCTTTAACTTACATAGGCATTTTTTAAGTGTGTGTGTGTGTGTGTGTATGTGTGTGTCTCCATGCTGGCTTTGCTTCTCTCCCTGTACCACGTGGGTCCCAGTGATCCAACTCAGATTGTCAGGTTTGATAAAAGCAAGTGCCTGCCTTTATCCACTGGGCCATATTGCTGGCCCCTACACGGGCATTTTTGAATGGCAATTGCAAATTCAAACTAAAAAAAAAAACATGAGAGGGGTTGGGAAAGGAAAGAGATGGGAGATACATTTGATTAATTTGTCTACATTTGCATACATTTACATGCCTTGCTGTGAGTGACTTATCAGATCTCAGCCTCTGCTGAGAAGACTTGAACATCTGATGCAATCAGAGAATGGGAGTCAGTTCCTAATCTCAATTCGGTACCTTGCTAACTGTGCATCTTTAGCCCAGTTTAGTAACCTCTTATAAGGTTGCCCCTTATAAAGTAGAAACAGTAGTGGTACCTCATGAAGAGATGAATCCATATCTGTCGGATGTCCAGAATGCTGTCTGGCACATGCTACATACGCTACATCCTATTCAAGGGTGGAACACAGTGGGAGTGAGGCCCCTGTTGTACAAACACAGATGTGGGAAGCAGTGTGGAAGATAGTTCCTATGACCCATGCCCGGGAGCCTCAGTAATTCTCTGCTGCCCTCCTCCCACAGTTCATGACCAAGAACCCCCACAAGCGCCTGGGCTGTGTGGCAGCACAGAATGGGGAAGATGCCATCAAGCAGCACCCATTCTTCAAGGAGATCGACTGGGTCCTGCTGGAGCAGAAGAAAATCAAGCCCCCCTTCAAGCCAAGAATTGTAAGTGGGGCTCCCAGCCCTTCCCCTCCATGGTCGGCTGTGCCAGTCTCTGTGGGCCAAGAGCAGCCTGGGGTGTGGCTGAGAGCTCAGGGAAGAGTCCCCCCAAAGAGTCTGAGGCCCTAGACGTCGACTGTCACAAGTATGGCACCTGCAGTACGGTGCTCTTATCTCAAGTGTTGTTTTTTTATTCCGACCAGTTATGATGATGCTAGTTTTCCTCGTGACACACAGATGGCGAGGTGTTTTGATAGAGATGGGGTTGTGCTTTGGAAGCGTCCATGTAAAGGAAACTATCAGCCAGACGCTTGCCGTGGCGCTTAAATGGCAGAGCATGAAGTGAGATTCAGTGGCTGTTGCAAGAAAGGCTGACCCAAAGTCCTGAAGGGAGGCTAGCCTTGTGTCCTGGGTCCCTCACGGTCCTAGCTCTCATGTTCCTGTCCTCAGCCTGCTCCAAGGCACACCGTGGGCTGCCCTCCTTGTACAATGCCAAGCACAGGTGACTGGTGGCCATCAAAGGGAAGTGGCACTCAGAAGCTGGACAGAAGACCCGAGCCAAAGGCTGTGTCCTGCAGCTTGACCATAATCCCAAGGGAGAGGCGTTGTAATTCCATTGTTTCATGAGGTAGTCAGTCCTTCAGACTGAGAGTCTGGGCAGCCAGTTTCAAGCACCTGGGAGCTGAGGGATGATTCTTAGACAAAATCTCAGACCCATGAAGCTGGCGGAAGCCCTGAGATCATCAACCAGCCATGGGTCACCATGTTCAGTCAGAGGAGACCTTCCTCCCTCACCATGTTCAGTCAGAGGAGACCTTCCTCCCCCAGCTGCAAGGACAGAAAAGACCCTCAAGTGTTCTACAGGTCCCCTGGGAGGAATGAATCTTAAAATATTCTGGAATGTGGTTGCCGACTTGAGACAGAATCAAACGCTTCAGGTCGATCTGTGGTTGGTGCCAAGGCTTGCTACCATTCCTACTTTGCTTTCTGCTTTGGTCTGTGTGGCTCTTGAGAGACACACAGCTTGAGACAGGCCAGGTTTGGGGTCCATTTCTCTCTGCGAACCTCTCTTCCACTTTAGCCCATTTCGCCATAGCTTGCCCACAACCCCACCCCACCCCATGCCAAGCCCATGCTGTGGATTTTGTCCATAAGAAAGGTTTGAGGTTCTGGCTGTTAGGGCTAACAGAGCTCACCGCACATGCCAGCCTACCTGATGGCTTGGCCTGGGGCCGCTACAAGTAGTCTCAAAGGATTGGATACCTGACAGAACGTGTGAAAGTGGGTCACCAGAGGCTGAGAAGAAACCGAAGGATCAAGCCTGAGGGGTGAATTATAATTTCCATGTAATCTAACTTAATTAATCCCTAGAGAAATGGGAAACAGAACTATTTTAACAGTTCAGGCCCAACTAGCAAGACCAGGGGCCGGTCAGATGTCATTGCCATCCATAAAATGGCTTGGACTTAACATTGAGACTCTAAGTCAATGTTTTCAGCCATACTCAAGGAGGACCATCAGACCCGGGTGAGAAACAGGCATAGCCTCTCAAGAGAGTGTGGTGAGGAGGCCCAAGGAAGTCCCCTGGGGCTATGAAGGGGAGCAAAGGCTTGTGCGGGCAAGGGAAACCAGTGTTGTAGAGAAACTCCTAGAAGGAAGGAAGAGAGGAAGAACTTGAACCTCTACTCACAAAAGATGTTTTAATGAATGGAGTCATCGGGACTAGGTGCCCCCTGGGATTTAATATATAAAAGGGCAAAAAGAAGTGACCACCGGCCTTTCCTAGGTACTTTTACTCAAATCCAAGGCAGGCTCTGGTCTTCAAGCAGTGTTGGGAAAACCAGGTTCCTAACGCAGCTCTTAAAGCCCCATGGATCCCGGATGTCCTCTCTGGGTTTCCAGTCTTTACACTGGGATGTGGACTCTCGGTATTCTTGTCCTTGCATGGCTTCTGTGGGTCCCATCACAAGGCATTCGGAGAGGGAACCACACCTCGATCGGTGGCTACGCCACCCACCAAGTAAAATGATGACAGGAGGGTCATGAAGAATAGTATGAGGTGACTATGGGCTGGGGACCTAGGACAGAACCCACATACTGAGGAAAGGGGGAAAGGGTGGGGAGCAAATGGGAGTAGGCTACCATGTGACCATGTGTCCCACTCCACCAATGAGCGGGCTTCACCTGGGCTCAGGCAGGCAGGCAGCCCCTTCAGGTTGTCCCTAGGCAGGTGTGATGATGTTCCTGTAGGTAAGGAGCTCCCAGAAACCAGAAAGAGGAAGTACTCCCCTAGGACTAGGATCAGCTGGGGTTCCACATTCCCCTGAACCCCAGTGCACAGGAGACAAGAATTTTCCTTACTCCAGCCTCTGGGAAACCTCCCCCTGGGACTAGAAACAGGACCCTGCCCAATTCCTTTACTGGGTGACTCACATGAGCTTCTGTTCTGGGAACTTTCTTTCCCTGTAAGAGTATGTTAAAAACAAAACAAAACTGGGCCACGTAGAGCTCCCGATATCCATCTTAGTTTCCTAAAGCTGTCTTCATTCACCTTTCCACGGAAACTGTCGTGTGTACGCGTCCCCAGTGTGCTTCAGACTATCATGCTGGAGGGCCAGGGAAGGAGGGTTCAATCGGCTGGTTTGTTTTAGCTGAGATGAAAAAGTTAAGACATTAGGGAGGAAATAAGATTGCGCAAGAGGTGTTTCTGGTTATACTTTGGCTGAATCCTGTGGACTGGTCAGAGCTACCAGTCCTAGGTCTTGAGAGACTTCATCGGGATGTTTAAATATCTGATCACACTTCTGTCCTTGGCACTGAAGTATCTCTCATAAATGCCAAATTTGTTGAGTGAAAAGAAAGGAGAGGGAGGGAGGGAGAGAGGGAGGGAGGGAAGGAGGGAGAGAGAGAGAAAAATAGAAAGCTGTTACCAGAAAGGTGTCCTAACTCTGTCCCAAGCTGAAACTCATTCCTGCTACATGGAAATGGCATTAGCCTGTGCTATGTCTGTGGACTCTAGTCTAGCGGAAGATGCTGAATTAAAGCGATTCCATGTATCACCTGGGAAAACCTCGCAGGATCAGTGTAGCCAACTAGCATAGGGATGTCTGCCAAGACCAGAGCAGGGAGCAGATCAGCTCTGTCCTCCATTAGCAGGTGTTGCCTTAGGCAAATGCAGTCACCCACAAGTCACTGGAGAGAGACACTGCAGCTCATCTCCAGAGAGTCCTCCTGCTCGTCAGAGGTCAGAGGTTCCATTACAAGACTGACTTTCTTGTGGCTTAAGGTGTCTTGTAACTTAAGGACATGTCATTTGACTTCCTAGGAGAGCTCAGGAAGGTAAGACTTGACAACTGAACAAAAGTCAGTTCTACACTGAGAAGCAGCCATGAGGACAAGGGACTATCAGACAGGACACTGTGAAGTTCTTGGATCCTGTCTTATGAAGAGATGTCACATGAAGGGATAGGTACTGTGTGAAGAAAAGGATAAAATCTCTGATCAGATAGCACCAGACTTGTGGGTGTTGTTAGCACAAAGAGACATTGGGCATAAGCTTAAACAAGCCAAGGAGACAGGTTCAGAAAAGTTCCCCACCCCCACCTCACTAGACACCTTAGGGGAAGTGTGGTCACTTCCCCTGGATTTCTTCTCTTTGGAACTAACTCCACTTATTCTCCAGCTATGCCCCGCTGACCATATACCAGAATGCCATCATTCCCCAGAAACCCACTCAGTAGCTACTACCTCAGCTCCCTTACTAAGTTACCTGGCAGGTGACCCGCTGGTGAATTCAGGGAAGAATCAGTTTTGGTGGGCCTAGGAATGGCCATACCATCTAGTCTTGCATTTGAGAATAGCGATGATCTAGTATATTGTGTTTCCAGAACTCTTAAGTCTCTTCAAACCCATGATATCAGGCAAACCTGCCTCCACCATGGCTGGCTCACCTGGAGACTGGGGCCCTCTCACACCCACAGGGGCTGAGGCTACTTCAGAACAGATTCCGACCCAATCCCCATCCCATCCCCTCCACAGGAAGCCTCCCACCTCAGAAGATGTCACCAAAGAGATTGTTCAGATCGGAGGCTGGAATTTGGCCTCTGGTCAGTTTCCATCACATACCTCCACTGGCTGATGTCCCTGCAGGCTCTGGCTTCCTGACATGTTTTTGCTAAGCTGAGATTCCTGTGCCCCTGGCGCCTCAGCCTCCCTGTGTAACCTTTGCTCTGATTCCCCAGAGGTTAGGAGTGCAGTAGGGTTTCCAGCCTTCAGGCTGTTACCCCTTTATGTCAGCCCACATTCGGTGACCTCTGCTTCAACATGGCAAGTTCCTTCTCGTGTGTCTTCTCAACTCCTACATGTCCTCCCTCCTTGTGTCCCCTGTATATTCCTCCTGTCCCAGCTCTATGCACACTGAGCTGATTTTATGCAAGTGATATGCCATCAACACCAAACCCAAAAGCCCTACTGCGTAGAATCAAATGAACAAAAGCCAAAAAAGAGTCTGATACTAGAGGCAATAGCCAAGTGTAAACACTTTGTCTCATTGGAGACTTCCTTCCAAGATGGCCGTGCTGTCTAATCAGTAATGAGTCTCTCTTGTCTAGCTTTTGTGTTCTTGGTAGACTTATCTTTTGGGGGAACTGTAGGGAGGAAGAAATGTATTTGGTATGGCTGACACTGCAGATTGTGGGGCCAGTCAGCTCACTCTAGGCCTACATTTGGTACACCCCCAAAGCATTAGACTCTGAGATCACAGGCTCCGGGGCTTCACCAGTGGGATGGGAGCAAGCCAGTTAAGAGGGAGAGAGCTGCCTCCTGCAGAGTCCTAGCTGTCCTCGGTGAATGCCCAAGGTGATGAGGGAAATGCCGGCCGAGTAAACTTTTCTTTGTGTACGTGTTCTCTCTTTTCAAGTTTGCTTCAGTGTGAATGTCCCTCTGTAAGGTAAGACTTCCAGAGTGGGGAGTTTCTCCAGGTAGGTGAGCCCACAGGCCCGATGACA